TGTGTGTGTGTGTGTGTGTGTGTGTTTGGTTTAGCTTTGTGTGTGTGAGTTGTGGAACTCAAGGCCTGGGTGCTGTCCCTGAGCTTTTGTGCTCAAGGCTAATGTTCTACTACTTTGAGTCACAGTTCTACTTCTGGTTTTTCTGATGGTTAATTGGAGTAAGAGTCTGGCTGGCTTTGAACTGTGATGCTCAGCCTTCTGAGTAGCTAGGATTACAGGCATCAGCCAGCCGTGCTGGGCTTAGGTAATTTTTGTTTTGTCTCAAGATAAAAACAAAGATCAAGGCTGCCTTTCCACCTCAGCCTCCTGGGAGCTGGGATTACAGAAGTCTGTCACTCATGTAGAACTTTGTCATGCAGTCCTAGAAAGGGAATGCTGCTACCTACTCACATGAACTGAAAGCCTAGGAGCACACCCCCTTCCTTCGAGCCTCTCCTGCCCTTCTACCTCATGTCCCTTCACTCTGGCCCTTCATTCTAGTTCCAAAATCTCCTAAAGTTGGGCCTTCTAAACCCTTGTCCTGATGATCACACTCATGCTGGCTTTCAGAGTAATAGTTCCAAAGAGAAAACAAGGCTACTTCATTCTGCCTAAAATACCACCAATACTTCCCAATGCTTAGAGGCAAAAATCCAGATCATCAACCAGGTAGACAACTGCATGCTTGGTGGGCACTGGTGGCTCACGCCTGTTATCCTGGCTACCCAGGAGGCTGAGATCTGAGGGTCATGGTTTAAAAGACTTGTCCATGCAGAAACATCCATGAGACTCTTATCTCCAATTAACACCACCAGAAAACCGGAAGTGGCACTGTGGCTCTAGTGGTAGAGCACTCACCTTGGGCTGAAGAGCTCAGGAACAGCGCCCAGGCCCAGTCAAGACCCATGACTGGCCAAAAAGGCAAATCAAAACAAAACAAAAACTACATGCTTGCCAGGTACCAGTGGCTCATTCCTGTAATCCTAGCTACTTAGGAGGCTGAGATCTGAGGACTGTGATTGAAAGCCAGCCCAAGCAGGAAAGTATGTGAGTCTCTTATCTTCAGTGAACCACCAAAAAGCCAGAAGTAGAACTGTGGCTCAAATGACAGAGCACTAGCCTTGAACGAAAAGGCTCAGGGACAGCATGTGAGCCCTGACTTCAAGCCCCAAGACCAGCACAAAAAAAGAAAGAAAGAAAGAAAGAAAACTGCATGGTCCTAGGCCCTTGTCCAGCACGGAATGCTGCTTCCACAGTGTGTTCCTGCATAGTGATCATGCTAGAAAGGAGGGAGGGAAGAGGGCAAGAGGCAGGCCCCACCACTGAGGCTGAGTCTAATCCCAGGTTCTTTCAAAGCCAAGTCCAGTTGCCTTTGCCTCTCCATGGTTGGATTTCTGCACTTTTTCAGTGTCAGAGGAGAAGATGTGATGTGGCCGCTGCTCTGTAGTTTACCAGTTCTCTCAGCCTCTCGCTTCACCTCATTGTACTGAAACAGCAGGGCTACCCTCCGGCCCCTCACATCACTGGTGTGGTTTGAAGGGTGTCCTAACAGGAAGTCTTGCTTCCTCTGGGAGTGTCACAACCTAGGGGACCCTGCACAACAGCAACCCTTCCAATCGCCCTTTTCTCACACCCCCTCAGTTAGATTTGGCAACAGGGCTTTGCTATATGACCCAGGCTAGCCTCAAACTTGTGATCCTCCTGCCTCCCATTTCTAGTTTATTTATGGAGAGTGTTAAAGCTAAAACATGACACCATGTGCCAGAAATAACCTCAACCCATCCCAAAGCCAGTGAAAGCTTCCAAACATTCAAGACCTTTTCTAAGACAGTGCATGTGGCCTCCACATGCACAGGCCCAAATGCCAGCTTTAGGTCAGGGTGGGAAGATAAGATTATAGCTGTTGGGCTGGGAAGTTGACTCAGTGGTAGAGCGCTTGCCTCTCCTGCAGGAAGTCCTGGGTTCAAGTCCTCAGCACCACATAAGCAAACAAACAAGATTATGGCTGTTTATTCTGGGTCCAGAAGACAATGGACATTCCCTTTTGAAGGACTTTTTCTTTTCCTTTCCTTTCCCTTCCTCTCATCTCCTCTCCCTCTCTTTTCCTCCCTTCCTTCCTTCTTTCCTTCTTCTCTTTTTCTTCCCCTTTTTAATTTTAATTATTTTATTTTTTGTGGGTCATGGGGCCTGAACTCTGGGCCTGGACACTGTCTCTCAGCTCTTCAGCTCAAGGCTAGCACTCTACCATTTGAGCTACAGCTCCACTTCCAGCTTTTTCTGCTTATGTGGTGCTGAGGAATCGAACTCAGGGCCTCATACATGCAAGGCAAGCACTCTACCACTGAACCACCTTGCCAGCCCTCTCCCCTTTTTAAAATGCCAGTACTAGGTATTAAACTCAGGGCCTAGGCACTGTCCCTTAGCCTTTTCACTCAAGGCTCGCATTCTACTACTTCTGGCATCTTGGTAGCTAATTGGAGATAAGCGTCTCACAGAGTTTCTTACCCAGGCTGGCTTGGAACCAAGATCCTCAGATCCTCCTAAGTAGCTAGAATTACAGGTGTGAGCCACCAGCACCCGGCTGAGACCTGTGCTTTTTTTGAGACCCTCTAGGCAGAGAAGGAGACATCACTCAGTGCTCTCCCACTGGGACCCATCTCTATAGCTCTTAGGGTAGTAAGGAAGGCAGCACAAACTTTGGAGAAAGCTCCCAACCTGGCCTCAGCTGGGTCTTACTCAAGAAATGAAGCTGGTATCCCTGATTCTCACCATGCTATTGTTTTCTTGTCTATCCTCAAGGGCCAGTATCATCAGAGGGGTATTCTGAGAGCTCCTGAGGTCCTGATGGACTGGAGTCAGCTGGGGAAGGGATTCTGGAACAGGGTGGTCACTGCGGCATGGAGTTGGGAGAGCTCAGCCTGGGGTAGGGTTTTAGAGTGATTCCATATCTTCTTATATATGTCATTGCTGAGTTCAAAGTCTCTGGGGTATTGAAAGATGTTTCCAGGGGTCATTTATGCACAAGTCCAAGCCATTCATAGAATACTCCCATGGGCCTTGTTGGTTCCAAATATGAGAGGCCTCTCAAAATGAAGGAGCTCTCTGGAGGATGGAAGGTAACTAGGCATGGCTATGGGAAAGGAAGGTGTGGTGGAAAAAAGTGAACTAGTCAGGAGAGCAGCAGAAAGGAAAAGTGGAAAGAAGCAACCCAAAGTATGACTTGGACAAGTTGGTGCAATTCTCCAAATATCCTCAAGAGGGCGTCTGGGACTCTAGAAAGGCCCAGTTCAGTCTTCCTGAGCTCTACCTTCCGCTAGCTCTCAGAGAATGAAGCTGGGGCAGGGGCCCAGGTCAGTGGTAATATGTGGCAACAGCAGTCACGGCTCCGCTGCTCTCCATGACTCTGAGGAATTCAGGAGTCGGAAAATCCCCTGTTCTGGGAGGCACAGGTGTCCCCAGCCACTCCGAGAAGCTGCCCAGATGGTCTACTGGAGGCCAGCCCCACCCAGCTCCTCTCAGAAGAGCTGATCCAGGCTCCCCACACCCCAGTGCTCTTGTTTTTGTTTGTTTTGTGTGTTTTTTTGGGGTCCGGTCGTGGGGCCTGAACTCTGGGTCTGGGCACTGTCCCTCGGCTCTTCAGCTCAAGGCTAGTGCTCTACCACTTGAGCCACAGCACCACTTCTGGCTTTTTTCTTTTTGCTTATGTGGTGCTGAGGAATCGAACCCAGGGCCTCATGCATGCAAGGCAAGCGCTCTACCACTGAGCGCTCTACCACCTTCCCAGCCCCCAATTTTCTCTTCTTATACAGAAATAGTCACTGAATTAGGGGCTACCCTAATCCCTTATGACTCTTAACATTTCACTTTATTTG